TTGGCTTTTCTCTGTACTTGTAAGAGGAGCTGCACTTCGACGCTCCCAAACACTTGATCCGATCTGGCCCATTTGGTAAGGAATGCCTGACAAAAGTGCGCCGATTCCGACGCGGTGATTGCTGCAGAGATTGGCTTTAGAATCTTCAGGGACTTCTGCAGTTGAACTGGGAAGACGTCCTCATCAAGCACAGAGCTCCCAACACTTCGGGGTACTTGCGGATTCTCGGCTACCACTGTTTCGTGAAGAGCCTCTTTGCTTTTCAGCAAATTCTCAAAGGAGACTAATACTCCACCCCATGGAGTTGTACTACAGCCTGTCGGTGTCAGGATTCTGTTCTTTGTGTCCTTTTCCTCTCGCCTCACCTTAACGCCTGCTGTGACCATCAGAGATTTTTCTTGTCAGGTGACTTCTTTTTCTTTTCCTTGGCTCTTTCGGGGGAGTCTCTGGTTCCATGTTATTATGAAAACGCAGTGTGACCTAAGTGAGGCTTCAGACTTTGCCTCTGTCACTTAGGAGCTGTGGAGCCACAGGAAAGCCACTTTGCCTCTCTGTGCTTCCAATTTCTGACTTGTAAAGCAGGGAAATTGGACTGATCACCTGGAAAGCTTTTCCATCTTTAGAAAAAACCGCCAACGTGAAACGCCCCTCCTCTCAGTAAAATGTGGGGTCTGGGCCACCTGTGATTGCGGCTGCTGCTTCCATCTTAGTGGCGACGTCAGCGAGCAAAGCAAATACTTTACTGCTTCCCGTCTTCCGTCGGATGGCACATATCTCACAGAACGGCTGGATTCTGCCGTGCAGCCGTTGGCTCCCGCATCTGTGCGTTCGCTTGTTTGTGTAAGGGAAGTGCTGTACTGTTGCACGGTTGCACAGTCCGTCTCCACTCCCGTTTGTCCGTGTGGAGTGCCGCAAGGCCCAGTGCTCTGTTGATTCTTCCCCGCACGGATTCCATTACCCACTCATATTCTCCCACTAAGAGGCTTGCGCAAAGAATGCTGCTGGGCAAACGTTATGACGGGCCTCGTAATTTGAGAACTTCCTGCAGTATGTGTTTTCCATTATTGACAATAGGGTTGCAGATGAATATATGGCTCTGGCCAGAGTTTGGTCAATTTTTCCTGCTCTCCAGGTGTCACCTGTGTACTAATGAAGCCACCGAGAGTGCTTTGTATGCAGTGGCTTGCACCTTTGTTGGCTTAGGGGTCCTGAACAGGTCCTCTCTGTGGTGATATTGATGCTACTGAACGGAGCACAGCTGTGGGATGGGGCATGCATGCCTCTCCCTCATTGTGGGCCCCTCCTCTACATTCTTAAATCTCTGACTGGTGCTTCCCAGACTCAGCTTTTTAAATCAAATTGTGAAACGTGCCCTTCAATCAGCAGTTCAGTGGGTGACTTTTGACATGTGGCAGTTCCTACCTGCTGGAAGCTGGCTTTCCTGTTTTGCAGAGAGAGAGCCAGTGGCCATCAACTTTGCAGTCGGACGGAGTGCCTCCAGGTAGCTGGGAGCAGCTTCTCAGTCATCCAGCCTCTCCCCGCTGTCCTGAAGCTGGGGAGGGGACACTGTGACAAAACCAGACATCATGGGGCATAGTCACGCGTGCTAGGCTGTGTGAACGCCAGGATTCAGAGGCATCTAAATTCCTCTTTATTAAGAGAGAGGCATACTTCTTTTCCTGGCTGCTTTGTAAACATTAAGATCACAGGGCCTGGAAGAATGGAGTTTCTCTATCTCTCTAGCTTCAAAACCACTACTTTTTCCCTAACCCTCCTCTATCTTGGGCCCTTTTAATCAAATAAGCACCATATTGTTCATCTCTAGGAACTGATAGACGCTACACTGTCATCATTTGCCTGGGGTCCACACCTCTGAGAGATGGTCAGGAGGGGTGGGTCTTTTATTGGCAATAGAAAGCAAGGAAAGAAAACCCACACCAAGGCAGTCTTTCTTCTCTCTCTCTGGGAATCGGAAATGATCTCTTGTCTGGCAGTTCACCTCTGTTTGTTCTTGATGTTAAGTATAGAGGAAAATCATTCCATGGATGATAAATCTGAGTCACAATACATAGGTCCCTTGCTGTAAATCTTTTATCGTCCTGCAAAAATTAATAATTTATTGTTAAATTGTTTTTACCTTCCCCCCTTTTTTGAAAACAGAAAGAGAGATCTTCCATCCACTGGTTTACTCCATAGATGGCTTTAAAGGCCAAGGCTGGACCAGGCCAAATCCAGGAGCCAGGAGCTTCATCCAGGTTTCCCATGTGGGTAGCAGGGGCCCAAGCACTTGAGCCATCCTCTGCTGCTTTTCCTAGGCCATTAGCAGGGAGCTGGATCAGAAGTGGAACAGCCAGGACATGATATGGGATGCAGGTGTCAAAGGCTATGGTTTTACCCCCTAAAGTCATTTTTAAAGAAAAAAATATTCATTTATATTTTGTCCCAGCCCTTACTGTTTTTTGGAGACCAATATATATGAAACAATTTGAAAAATTATAAACCAGGACTGGTGTGGCACAGTGGGTTAAGCTACCATTTGCAGTGCCAGCATCCTGTTTGGATGCCAGTTCGAATCCTAGCTGTTCTACTTCCAATCCAGCTCTCTGCTATGGCCTTGGAAAGCAGCAGAGGATGGCCCAAGTGCTTGGACCCCTGCACCCATGTGGGAGACCTGGAAGAAACTCCTAGCTTCTGGTTTTGGACTGGCCCAGGCCCAGCCCCAGCCCTAGCCCCAGCAGTTGTAGCTGTTTGGGGAGTGGTTGGAAGATATCTCCCTGTGTGTCTCTTTCTCCCTGTAACTGTGCCTTTCAAATAAATAAATAAATCTTTTAAAAATTTATAATCCATCAGAAATTGGCGCTAAGTGCAAGAGTGTGACAGAGAGTCAGTCAGCAAGAGTTTATTGAGTATCTACCATGTTCTCCACTACAAGGATAGATCAGAAGACGGGGCCTGCCCTCAGTTTGCATAGGATCTGTAGGAGAAAGCAAGTCATGATACGAAACAGCAGGATTGATGCGCTACAAAACTCGAGGACATGGTAAACTTGGGCAGAGATGTTGCAGAAGAAGCCACGTCCCTGCTGGGCAGGATGGGGGCAGATTTCGAGGATTGAGCTAGAAACAGAGGGAAACTGTGAGCAAACAGGGAAAAACAGCACAGGGATTTCCGAGCACACAAGTGGCGGAACAGCTCCCACAAACCCAGAGGGTGGAAGGCAGGGCCGAGAGAGTCGAGTGCAGAGCCTGCCTATGGGAGGCAGTGCCACGCGAGCTGTGGTCGAGAGGGAATCCGTGATGGTTTTCACAAGGGAAGTGTTGTGATGACAGCTGTGTTTCATGAGGATGGGCCCAGCAGCCACATTTGGGATAGGCAGGAGGGGGAAGAATGTGACCTGAGACAGGAGGGAGGGAGGAGGAGGGGAGGGAGGGAGGAAGGAAGGAACTTGTGGCCAACCAGAGGCAGGTGCTGAGGAGCCGAGCTATGGAGATGGCAGGTGACGTGGAAACGGGGGAGGTATAACAGGCGTCGCTAAGGAGGACTGACAGCAGTCCGTGACTGACTTCTGCTAGAGGGCACGGAAGAAGGCTGTATCAGAGACCCCACCGCTTCTGGTTTTGTGGTTAAGAGAGTTGTTAGAACTGGCTGGGGAGAGGACGACTCTGCCTTGATTCCTGCTAGGTTTGCGGTGCCAGTGGTCAGCTAAAGGACACGTTCAGCAGGAGCTGGAAATGCAAACACCCGAGCACAGGGAGAGATGAGTCAGGTGCGTCAAGGCAGGGGTTGAGGGGGCTCACGCAGCGCACGACTGTTGGGGGAGAGGTCGACTTCAAGGGCAGAGTAGCAGAGAGAGATGCTTGGGAACAGCCATCAGGAGGAGGAAGACTAGGGCCCGGCCGATGAACAGGAAGTGCTAGGTGCCAGGCATGCATCGTTTTCTGACTTCCTCCAGCCATGTCTTGCCTTCCACGATTCGACACAGGCCTAGGAAGGGTTGCTGAGCACTGGCTGGCAAGGAGCATCAGGAGAATTTGGAGGGAGATTCCAGGAGAGGCCAGAGAAAGAAGGGAAAGTTATTGTCATTAGGGACTGCAGCATGCTCAATTGCAAAGGAGGGGTGGTGTCCTCATCATAGTGATGAGGGCCCGGGGGAGCAGGCAAGGGAGGGAGGGGAGTCACACTTAGCTGTGTTCCAGAGGCACTGTCCTGGGCCAGGGCACCTCCTCAATACAGACCCGCTTTCCCTCTGCTCCAGGACACTGGCAGAGAAAGCCCCGCCTCCCACCCCCAAGCTGCGGCCATACAGGCCTCCAGGCACAGAGGTCCAGCAGCTGGTAGATTTTGCTCATTGGAATGTCATCTGATTCACTTGCACTGTTGGCTCCTGATTGACTTCAGGGATGGGTTTCTGTCATTTAAAATGCCATAAACGCAAAGAGCAAAATAGCCCACTGGCTGGTCGCTCCCCACCCCCACCCTGCACAACTGCCAGGCCCAGCACCTGCAGCTCCACCTGGAGAAGACAAGGCGTGCTGTCATCCCCTTTAGCAGTGGCCAGGGTGTCCTCCAAGCCTGAAGGAAAAGCAGAGTGCGAGGGGGAAGGTCAGCAAGACGAGAGGCCCATTGGGCTACTGGAGAGACCACAGCCAAGTATCCTGCAGGGGAGGGGGAATCAGAGCCTCTCCCTCCCAGCTCCATGTGAGTTTGGAAGGTAGAGAGAGCCAGGCACATCCAGGACACAGATGCAGAGAGCTACGCAGGACACAGGTGCTTACACACACACAGCCCGGCACAGACACACATGTTTGGGTCCCCAGCTCAGATCCGGGCACAGGCACACCTGGACCTGCTCCTCCCGGTGCCGGGCTGCACACGTCCCTCTGCACATCTCCACGGAGCCCCTTCCTCTTCAAGAGTTTCTCTTCCGTGGAGCACCCTGGTGGGAGTAGAAGCAGGCCCCTGCCTTCCAGCCTCACCCCTTCCCCTTTGTGTTTTTCCAGGTCGTGACATGGCGAGCACCACTCTGCCTGGTTACCCCCCTCACGTGCCCCCCACTGGCCAGGGAAGCTACCCCACGTCCACCCTGGCAGGAATGGTGCCCGGTAGGTGACAATGCTGCAGCCGCCTAACCTAGGTGGGGGTGGCTAATTCGCCGAGGAGCTGCTGAGTGGTCTACCATCTGAGGGTGGGGGGAGATCCAGCCGCTCCTCCCCACAAACCACTCCTGAGCCATCCTTCTCTACTCGAAGGCCTCAGGAGCAAGCGAGGGAGGGAGCCAGCAGAGGTGCGCCTTGTGTGCACCCCACTTCGTGTCATGACCCATCCACAGCACCCACTCTCCCAAGCCTCTGCCCCAGGAGCACCCGGCCTCAGCTCCACCCTCAGCGCCCCAGCCCACCCCAGCCAGCTGACACTGCTTGGAAGAGCCTGCCCTGGTTTCCATGGAAACTTGGAGCCAAGCACCATTTCCAGGGGCATGTCAGTCACTCAGACAAAGCCACCCTGGTCCACACCAAGCCACAGGGAAGACCAGTGTGGGGAGCCAACCCCAACTTGGAGGGAGGAGTCAAGCTGGGCCCCCCACCCCACATCTCTTCAGAGGACCCCAGGCCCTGGGGCTCCTCCAGGCTCAGCCCATCCCGGGCCTGGGAGGAGTTGGGTTTGGGCTGCGAGAACCAGGGAGGTAGAGGCTGTACTTAGGGTCTGCTGTCTGCTGCTAGGCATTGCGCCACCACTTCCCTGAGTTCCTGCTGGCAGAAACACCACCAGCTCTTGCCTTAAAGAGGGCACCACTGACTCGGCTTGGACCTATTCCCTCAGGCCCCCTTCTTAAAATGCTCTCCTTGAAGTTCTGGTAGGGGGAGGAGGAGGAGGCTAGCAGATGAGGGTGAGACTGGCCCCATCCATCCGGAGCCCACCCCGGGTCAGCAGAGCTTGGGGCAGGGGTGCCACAGAGAATAGAGGTTGAAGGGAGCAGCAGAGGTGAGGGTGGAGGGATTCCTACCTAGATCTGGGGGTGGGGGAAAGGTCCCAGCAGTGAGCAGGTGGAGGCTGGAGGAGGTCTCTGCGAGAGGTGGGGGAGGGGAGCCAGGGGAGGAGGAGCTGGGGTAGAGTGGGGAGGTGGGGGTGGGGAGTCTGCAGGGAGGTGGGGAAGAGGGGAGCCGCAGAGAGCTCATGGTGGCAAGGGGGGGGTCGTTAAACAGAATCCAGTGCTGATGAGGAAATTAGACTTGTTTCATTAGCGATGGGAAGGAGATAGCTCAGTTCCTCTTGGTCACAGTTGAGCTCAGAAGCTCATTATCCTGCTGCACGCATGCTTTCCCTCCTCGTCAATAAACAGGCTTTCCAGTGGCTGCATCCCCCACCCCCACCCAGCTCCGGCTCAGAGAGGGGCCCCTTCTCCTCTACTTAACCCGCGGTTAGGGATCACTGTAAACAGTCTGGGGTCATCACACAGGAGAAAGGGCGAGGGGAAACCCCGAGGCCTGGCCTTGCTCCCGCGGAGGGAGGGAGGCAGCTTCCGACGGCTCCCAGCCCACGGGCCGGCGGCTCACCGCTTGCGGACCCGCGGTAGCCCACCTGCTTCCTGGGCCATGGAGCCCACGTTTGAAATCCCTTGAGAAAGGCGGGAGGGGGTAGTTTCCCAGCAGAGCCCCCCGCCCCGCGTACTGGCACCGCGCTGAGGTGCCATTCTTAGGACTTTCTGGGACAACCTGTCCCGGGGGCCCTTTTTCACCACCCTCCCCCGCTTCCACCCCAGGGACTACCGCTCCTAAAAGCAGTGTCCACTATTAAAGCCCTTGGACTCCCATGCGGTGGGGAGGCGGGGGGGGGGGGGGCGTCCTAACATATCCTTCTTGAGGCCCTGGAAGCCGCCCCTGGGGAGCCCTGGGCTGGTACTGGCTCACAAGCCACCTCCCCCTCCCCGCAAGCTGATGTGTGAGGTGCGTGGGCGCTTTGCGCCCTTCCCAGGTTCTCCCCACGCCGGCTACAGGGACACTCCGCCTCTGCCTGGCCCGCACCGCCTACTATGCGACCCAACCTCAGCCCCGCTTGCCCCTACCTGCCTGGGACCCCTGTGCCCGATGCGTCCCAGACGGGGCGGGGAGGGGGGTGCGGATGACGGTTCAGCTGCCAGCCAAGCTGGTCAGGTGAGCTGTGCCGGTGCTGATCCCCGCTCCCCCACCTCTCGCAGGGAGTGAGTTCTCCGGCAACCCGTACAGCCACCCCCAGTACACGGCCTACAACGAGGCTTGGAGATTCAGCAACCCCGCCTTACTAAGTGAGTACGCCACCTTGCCGGCCGGAGGCTCCGCAGTGCTGCTTCCGGACCAGGGTCCTGCCTTTGGGGACCCGATCTCCGGGCGCATGGCCAGGCCAGGGACAGGCTCATTAGTTCGGCTCTGAGGCCAGGGGGTCCCTCAAGGACGCCTGCGCCTCCTGCCCCTTCCGATCCTTCCTCGCCCTCTCGGGTCGCTGGAAGGCTCTGCGCCGTCCTTAGATCCCCTGCAGGGTCCGCAGCCGGCGTCACCCATCGGGTCCCTTCTCCCCGCCCCACCCCCGGCCTGGTGAATGCGGCGCTCCTCCCCAGCAGTCGGCCCCGCGGCCCAGCCAAGGTCCTCCTGCCCGGATCCCGCCGGACCCCAGCCTGGGGAGGTCTTTGCTTTGCTTTGCTTTCCTTTTTTGTTCTGTTTGTCCTCTCACCCAGCCCATTCTTCTCCTGTGTTAACTTCCAGGTTCCCCTTATTATTATAGTGCCGCCCCCCGGGGCTCCGCCCCTGCCGCTGCTGCCGCTGCCTATGACCGCCACTAGTTACCGCGGGGACCACATCAAGCTTCAGGCCGACAGCTTCGGCCTCCACATCGTCCCCGTCTGACCGTCCACCCCGGAGGGAGGGAGGACCGACGCGACGCGACGCCTCCCGGCCACCGCCCCAGCCCCACCCCCCTCCCATGTCCCCCGCAGCCCTTCACGTCGCCCCATCGAAGGCCGGACGGGACGGGTGGAGCCGTGGGTGGGACGCTCAGGCCCAGGCCCGCCGCCCCTCGCCGCCCGTCTGGACTGCGCGGCGCCACGACGAGGACCCGGCCTGGCCCGGCCCGGCCCGCCACCGCGCGCGCCGGCCACGTTCGTGTGACACACAATCAGAGCGGACTGCAGCGCGGCCCGGCCTCGGACGCTCGGGCTCCGGGAGGCTTCGCTGGAGGAGCTGGGCAGAGGAAAATTCAGAACACAGACTTTGCGCACGGGAGGAAGAGCCCCCTGCCGAACTCTGGGGGAACCTTCTCAACCCCTGCACCAGCCGGACTGCCTCCGCCTTCCGGGCGCACCGCCCCCAGAAGGTGGGATGACGGCGTGGGAGTCGGATCTTGGCAAGGTTGGGACCCGGTGGCCGGCCCCGGTGGAGCCCCTCCCCACCGCACCTGGACTGCCCGGCTCCCCAGGGCCCAGGCACCTCCTACTACATGACCCGACCTCAGCCCCGCTGGCCCCTACCTCAGCGTCTCTTCCTCCTGCAGGCCTCCCAGTTTGCCCTCCTGCTGTCCTTGGCCCGCACCACCACACCCTGTACCCCACCCCTGCCTAACTCGCAGCCCCGGACGCTCTCCCCGACCCGCGGCAGGGCCCGCACTCAAGGGCCGCGAGCAGTTCTTCCCCGGGCAGCTCCTGGCCGCCCCCTCCCCCGACACAGACTCTGAATCGCCCGCAACAGGAGCGGGTCCGGAGCAGGCGTGTGAGCTTCGGCTTGGTGCACGTGGGGGCTTGCCTAGGCCACGCCCCCATCCCTCCTAGTCTCCTCCTCCTCCCTCGGCCGGAACTGAACAGAACCGCAAAAAAAAAAAAAGTCTCCATTTATTTAATACGATGATCTCTGCGAAAAGGAACCACAGAACCCCATCGGGCTGCTGCTTGGCAGAGAGACGGTGTGTGTCGCGTGAAGGCGAAGCCCTGTACATAAGCCCGCCCTCGGCCCCGCCCGCCCGTAGCGTCCCCGCGCCCGCCCGCCCTGCCTGTAGATGCGTCCCGCAGTCCGTGCCGTGAGCGTCGCCGCGCGCTGGGCGGAGGGGACACAGCCACACGCCCCCTCGAGCACAGCACGTCCGGGGGGAGGGGGGCATTTTTTATGTTACAAAAAAAAAAAAATGACGAAAGAAATCTCTATGCAAAATGACGAACATGGTCCCGTGGACTGCTCTCGCCTGTTTTGTTGGCTCTCTCTGCAACTCCGTGTTTTCGCTCTCCTCACTCGCTCCTCTTCGCTTCTGCCCCTCTGTCTGTCTCTCCCCGTCTCCGTCTCTCCTGTCCCGCTCTGTCTCTGCCCCCCTGCCCCGCTCTCTTCCCCCGCCCCACGCCCCGGCCGCCCTGTCGGCACAGGCCAGGTCGGAGGTGGCGGCCCCAGCCCCGGGGCGGCCCCTCGCGGCCGTGTCCCGCGCCCCGGCGGCCGCCCCGTCCCGCCCCGCCCCGTAGTTGCTCTCTCGGTAGCGGCGATGCGCCCTGCATGTGTCCTCACCCGTGGATCGTGACGACTCGAAATAACAGAAACAAAGTCAATAAAAGTGAAAATAAATAAATAAAAATCCTTGAACAAATCCGAAAAGGCTTGGAGTCCTCGCCCAGCTCTCTCTCCCCCTCGAGCCTTTTTATTTGAAAAGGAAAGCGAGGAGAATAGTGCAAGGGAACTGCCGGCGCCTGACCAGGCCCCCGGAGCGCGCGAAGGCCAGGGCGCCGAGGCCCGGCCCGGCCCCGCCCAGTCCTGTGGGGCTGGACAGGCAGGGGCCCGGGGCCGCGGCCAGGCCAACCTTCGAAAGTTCCCCGACGGTTCTGGTCTCCTTGGCCACTTTCAGCGCGCCGGTTCGTTTTGATTTCTTTTCTTTTTTTCTTTTCTTTCTTTCTTTCTTTTTTTTTTTTTTTTTGTTCACATGAGAAATAAATAATAAATAAATAAGAATAATAAATAATAAAATTTTGTATGTCACTCCCCATGGCTCCAGGTTTGTCTCTCCCTTTGTCTGGCTTTGTCCGGCATGGGCCTCTCCTTGCGCTGGTAGATCCCCAATAATCAAAAATCCTCCGAAATGCATTCCACTACGATCCCTTCGCCAAGACTCCTGGCCCCGGTAGCAGCTGAACGCAGGCCAAAGCCCAGACGACCTCCAAACCCGTGGCCACCCCCCCCCCCCCGCCCTCACACCTGCTTGAACAAGGAGCTCTCCCTTAAAGAACGAAACTTGAACGCACCTTGGAGTCACGCGTCTGTACCAAGCAGCTCCTGCGGGACTGCCACTCCGCCCACTCCAGATCTAGGGTGCAGGCTCTCAAGACGCTGCTTCTGAGGGCCTCTCCCCGTGGGGGCGGGGGTCTGCCCTCCTGTCCCCTCCCTCTGCTCGCTCCCCAGCGGGCTCACTTGCGCGTCGGCGCGGCAATGACGAGACCTCGGAGGCCAGAGGCCGCCGCAAGTTCCGCGCTTCGCATCTGTTTCCGCGCCCTGAGAGAGCCAGCCCCGCGGAGACCCGGGGAAGCGGCTCGGGCCTTGCGCGCGATCTCGGCGGGGGGAACTGCTGCCTCACGTTCGGCGGTCTGGGGTGTCCCAGGGTCGGCGGGCTAGTCGGTGGCTTCCTGCATGTATATGGATTTCTCTTTAACTGTGTGGGTCCCTGGGTGGCTGGGGGGGGGGGGGGGGGGGCAGACGAAGTAGCGTTTCGATGTCCTCGTTATGGTGAAGCTTCTGCATGTCCCCGTGTCTCTGTTCCTGTCTGGGGGAGCAATGTCAGGGCTAACAAGGATTGTCCTACTGCATCAGAGTTACTTGGACCTGTGCTTGTCCGTGGCTTGGGCAGCCTGCCCCACTAACCTTCCCACACTCTTGCCAACCCCAAGGCCCCAGCCCCCACCCATGCTCCACCCCGAGACTTCCTCCTCGCCCCTAGGAAGCCTTGCCACTCAGCTTCCAACTCAGCCTCCTCCCTGGGGGGGGGGGGGGGGGCTTACAGCTCTGAGCTGCTGGCGGCTGGGGCAGAGTCCAGAGGGACCTTCCTCCCTGACTGGGGCAGCCTGCGCTGGACACCCCCTCTCCCCAAGAGCCCAGAGGCCTTCTTTCCCCCAGGCCCTCTTACCCAGCTCCATCAGTATCAGCGGAATAGGCAGGCCCCCAACACATCAGCAATCCCCCCACGAGTTCCTTCCCCTTCCCCACCTCGTCTCCTCCCTGTACCCGCCTGCCACACTGCCTAGCATTGTCTCTCTTGACCAGCAGTCTCCTAGAAGACTCATCTTCAAACTGCCCTGCTCAGGCACCATAGCAGTCCAAAGAATTCTGTATACTCCCAACATATTTACTTAGTCACAGATTCCATTATGTGCTGTGGAACTCGCATATTACACATTTTATAAATCACAAATGGAAAAAGGATGAGATTGAATGCACAGAAGTTCCACCGTTCTCACACCCAAATGGATTCTCTTGCATCCCAGGAAGAGTTGTACCCCACGTAGGAGACTGGACTTCAAACTCATGAAAATCTAGCACAGCATGGCCCCCTTGACTATAGCCTGATGCCCAGAGAATGAGTCCCAGGAAGCTGCTGAGGCCCTGGGCTGGGCTGCAACAGCCCGGCACGTGCTGCCTCTGTCCTATGGAGCAGGCACCTGCTCCCAGCACTGGGCTTTGCCTCCAGGTCCATCCCTCCTCCCCGCCCGTAGACAGGGAGCCCTGCCCAGCCCAATCCATCAGCTTGGGAACCAAGGCCTCCCTCATGGGTCCCCCCAGACCTCTTATCTTCCGTTCTATTTCTGATCTCCCATACCAAATTACACAGCAAGGGTCCCACTCTTCACAGGGACTACCTCTGCCCAGAGGCACTTATGTTGTGTCCTACTGGGGTGCTGACTCCAGGTTGGAATCAGTCTGAGGACCCCAAAACCTGCTCTATAGCCCTTGGCTAGTGGCCTCCTCTAACCGCAGCCCTGTTCACCCACCTCCAAGGAGAGCAGGCCGTTTTCCTTTACCCAGTGCTCGTGTTGATTCTGCCAGTCTCGTGCCATCCTACCCCCTGCAGCGTTCCCAGCTGACGTGCACCAGGGATGACAGACGCAGTGGAGTAAAGTGTCCTGGGTTGAGGGAACACTGGGACCAGCAACATGACGGCATGGAAATGTAACAGACCAAATGTGTCTGGAGCAGCAGGCTGTGGGGGGCAGGAGATGAAGCTTAAATCTAGCTGGCAGCCAGCACGTAGGGGAATGTCAAAGGGTACCCACCACTCACACAGCTCCTTTGAGAACGCCGCCCCACCCACAGCCACTTCTACCCATGAAGGCAACACTCTGTAGCATACAGAATGGAACTTGTGCACACATCCACTCTGAGCCCATCGACTCTCCCCTCTCGGAAAACAGAACTGCAAAGTGCAGAGAGAATGAGGCCGCACCGGGAGAGGCAAAGCCTGGTGGAGACCTTGTGCAGGATTCCCTTCCCTCCTCTTCCTCGTGTCTGGAAGGGAGAGTTCCATTCTGCCAGTCATTCAAGCCAAACCCCAAATCTGCCCAGACTCCTCCTGCCTCTTCCATCCTACATCTGATCCCAAAGCAAACCCAGACTGCGCGATCCAGATATGACCACTCCCAACCACCTGCAGTGTGTGGTCCCAGCCCAAGCCGCCACGACCTTTCCCTGGTCTTGAGAAACAAAACTTTCATTGGTTTTTCTGCTTGCGTCTTTACCTCCCTCCTGCAACAGAGATCCTCCACAATGAACAGAAGCCTGCAGTGGCTCCCATCTCCCTCGGAATCAAAGTCAAGATGCTGAGACTGACCTACAAGGTTCTACCCGCTCGTGCCGCTTTGCCTGCTACCCCTCAGCTCGCTGCTCGCTCGGCTCCCTGACCTCTCGAGCCTGCTGACCTCCGGGCTGGGCTTCCATCATGTCAAGTACACACCTGACCAGGGCATTTGCACTTGATGAATCTTTGCCCGCCAGGCTCCTCCCCTGGGCATCTGCATGACTGTTCCCTCACTTCTTCAAGGTCTCTACTCCAATATCACCTTGTCACAAGGCTTTCCCTAAACACCTTAAATAAAAGAGCACCGCCCCCACCTTCAGTTCACACTCCACTCCCTTCCTCTGCTTCTCCGTACTGTTCACCACCACGACAGATATGATTCATCTATGTCCTCTCCTCTCCTCTCCTGTTTGAAGGTCAACTCCAGGAGGGCAGATCTGGGTGTGTTCTGTTCACCGCTTGGCACACAGTAGGTGTTCAACAAATAGAGGGCCAAACAAATGCAGCGATGAGGAAGAAGAAACTGAGTAGGCGCGAGGCTTGAGGCAGGGGAGAGACACAGAGAAGACGGTGAGAGGTAGCAGGACCCCTCTGTCACGGGCAGCAAGAGGATGGTGCAGGGGGAGCGCTGAGTCCCTGACCCAGGGAGCCTCCAGAGGGCAGACGCTGCTCCTCTGCCGCACCAGCTCTTCCAGTAACTCCCACCGTTACCTGCGGACCGTCCCTGAGCCCACGCCGCACTCAGCAGTTCTCACGGGGACATCACAGATGCACCCCCCTTTCAGTGGGAAGCTGCCCCCCAAGATCCTGTGTAGTTCTTGAGGGGCTGTCGATCCAAGTGTCCCATCGGCTCCTGACCACAGACAGCAGCCTGTGACCCCATCTGAGCAATGAGAATCCCATCGCCTGGCTGTAGCACACAGACCTCAAGTTAGGAACACTGGGCGTTCCCGCAGAAGGGATGTGGCCATGTCTAGAGAAGCAAGGGGCTCTCCTTCTGGGTTGTGAGCTGCAGTGATGAGGGCTTAGGACCGCCTAGGACTCCCCTGCACTGTGTGGAGAACGCCCGTCAGAGAGTGAACCCCTATTCAGCATCAAGCAGAGACA